TTCTTCACACGGGGGATCTGGGTGAACCACATATCCAAAATTCACCCAGATCCGTTCAGTACTTTGGAAGATACAGTTTAATGCAGATTCTGCAGAACATATACAGGCTATATGAAAAATAATTACTGTATAATGTGTCCCCTGTTGTATAGTTTAAAACTACTGCACAATGTCTTTGTGCACCAAATACCGGCGAGATGGCACCGTGTAGAAAAGTCCAAACAGTGTCTGTGAGTTAATACATGTGCCTCTGATACATGAAATGGTGACCACCCATTAACTCCACAGTATGTCCCCAGATGGTTCTTAAAGGGCCAGCATCAGCACAACACAAATCCATTATGCCCACATCATGTCTTTAAAGGGCAATACATCCCAGGGGCCATAGTCACATGGCAGGAGGCTGGCAATCAGTCTTCTCCAATGCCCAGTGGCGAGGTCGGTTTCTCTACACTGGAATTCGAGCTAATAATTGACCAATGAGGTTCTGTTCACTGGAAACTCAGAGATCTAATCCCTCTTTTCAGCTACCAGGTAAGGTGTAACTCCACTGATGGGGACATAGTCAGTGGCTGACTCCAATAATCTTTCTCTTGTTAAACCAAGATAGGAAGGATCTGTGAGGAATCCAGAGATGCCGTTGGGCCCATCTGACAAGTCTGCTGGTGGAAGCCAGGATTCCTAGTAGTTGCATCTAGTTTCTTGCTGTTACCAAGCAGAAATGAAGACATTCAGCCTCTTGTTGGCCCCTCTTTGGTCCAGTGTAGGTTTTCATGTGCTTTTCCTCTTAGCACCAGAAGAGAGGCGAAACTTGTCCCTGGAACTGCTCTTGTTCTGGGACCTAAAAAAATCACATCTTCGTCCAGAATGCTTCTTCCTTCAGTGCTTTACCTTTTGATTCTTTGGTCTTAATACTCCTGTTGGTATGGAGAATCCTGTGCCTGAAGAAAAAACTCCAGTCTATATCAATCTGGACTATGGATACCACTCAAGCCTCCAGAGTATGACGAGCCCAGGTATGTGTGATCAGAAAAATGGGCTCCTAGTACTGGAGGAGACCTGTTCATTGCTGAAGAGCAAAACAACTGCTTAATAGCTCCATTAGAACCTTGAAAGGCAGGCTTACCAACTGCCACGAGTTACCTCTGGAGTATACCCTGCAGGGTCAGTAGCTCCATGTATCTCAGAAATACTGGTCACTGGAGGTTCTCCGGTCAGACTATGAGGAGCTGGGATCCTTGGAACTTCCGTCCGGAGGTACAAATAACTTGCAGCCCTCATTCGCCTTTTTAATGGAATTATCTAAAGTTTTCCCAAACAGCACCACCCCTTCAAATAGAATGGTGTAGAGGGCAGACTTGGAGGATGAGTCATCATCCCAGAAACAGAACCATAATGCTTTCTTAGCTGCTATAGATAAAGCCATTTGATCCAGAGAATATCCTAGTTACATCTAGGGAAGTTTCTGTGAAGAAATCAGTTGTAACCTGAAGACTCCAGACTGCCTCTTCAATCTTGGCTTTTAATATCTCTCTCCATAGTAGCCTTTAGATCTTTAATCACATATTTCATGTTTGTAGAAACTGCAGCGGAAGTCACCGTTGGCTGGCCTCCTGCAATGGTAGGCATAAAATTTTGGACAGGTCTGCGTCCACCTATGATCCATAAGTTTGTAACTTAGGTGGTGTAGTTCTGGGGTTGGAAATAACTTCCTCCACAGGGTAAAGCCTGGCCTCTTTTCTTACCCCTAAGGCCTCTGGAATTTTGTAAGCCTTGCCCGCATGTCATGTGGAGGCAGTCAGTGCATAAGCGATTCCTTCCACTGTTTTCTCCTCATAACCAGATCCTGGTGAAGAATCAGACATCTGACAAATAATAACAACTAAATATTACCTGTGGTAAAGTATTAAGTAAAAAAGTGCACTATTAAATTCTATAAGAAACCAGTGAAACAGCTTTAAAACAGGCTGCAGACAGCACTTATCCATGTCTTGAGACCCTGGAAATACTTACCAAATAAGTGTGGTATGTTTACTGTAATTTCCCCTTTATTTTAGGAACTTTCTGGCAATTGCCCTTATCCAAGATGGCTGCCACAGCTTGTATTCCCACAATGCAAGTCATCTGTATTAGGCCCATTAAGGCACAAACTGCACACATGTGGGCCTATTCCGAGTGTGTTTGTGGTTTAGAGGCCAGGGAGAGTATTCTGTCTGAACCCTACATGGCCCCTAAACACCCAGGGAACCAGGGATAAATCACTGGGACCAAGGGGAAGCAAAATAGAGAACAAAAGTGCCTGCAAGGAAGTTTAAAAGGCAACCACGTGCAAAAAGTCAATGTTTAAAGGCACCACAGTCTAAAGGCATCAATGTATAAAAGGTAACAGTTTCCAAAATGTATCACAGTTTTCAAACGCACTGCAGTCTTTCAAATGTACTGCAGTTTCCAATGACTTGCGGTATTACATGCAACAGTATTAAATGCAAATTTAAATGAAACAGTTTTAAATGCCACACAGCTTAAACGCAAAACAGCTTAAATGCTTCCTGGTAAAAGCTCAACCGCATAATGTACCACAACCTTAAAGATAAGGTACAGCTGTATAATGCACTAGTTTGAAGATATCAAAGCTTAAATGCATCACAGCATAAAAGCACTACTGCATAATGTACTACAGTAAAACAGGCAAATAAAGTAATGAAGATTAAAAAAAAACATACATGTCCGTAAGTAAAGGGAGCAAATTGCTCACGTCCTAAGGGCTGTAGGACAGGAAAAAGACTGAGGACCTTAGGGATGGAGCCTCCTTTTAAAACCTTGGTGGTTTTCCTGTCCTATCGGCTGTAAGGGGAGGAGCTAACCCATGTGTATATGCTGCCATGATTAGCCAGGAAAAAATTATATACTGTGATATGTGTATCTATACATGTTATTAACATGAAACATATATACAAAGGGTGCATTAAGAGGCAGAAAAGGCTTCCAAAATAGGTACAGAGGATAGACAAAAAAGGCTGAAATGGATCCAAATCAGGAAAACTAGACAGAGGAGCCAGACGTACAGTGTTTGAAGAAAAAATAATAATAATTGAGAGAGAGAAACCCTAAAAATGGCGGAGGGAGCAACGAGAACAGAAAAACTATTTCTCGTCCCTATCTCGTCTCTTTACTTCTCTCCTAAATAACACAAACTTGTCCATTCAGGTATAAGACTTTGGCTCTCCCTGTCTTAGAGACTATTTTTCAGATGTTGCTATCACGGCATAAATTCTGCAACTCAAGTGTCAGTTTATAGTGAATATATTTAGCAATTCAGAATTTAATTTGATAGAATTTGCTATAGTGTAAGATCTGTAACATTATATAGAGGTCTATTATATTTTACACTATTATGGAGCCTGCAATCATTTTATTAAAAAGTAAATGCATAAAAATACTGTAACAGATACTGACTTCTACAGCAATTCCTGTATCGCCTATCCAGCCTTTAAAAAAAAACCAAAAAAACAAAACTCTATATTTACTAAAATAGGCAGCATGAAGAAAAACAACTATGTATTAAATAAGGATAAAAAGTTACGCTGTTATGTTAGCTGGGATAACATGTTGCGTCAATGTCCACCTTGTGGCTGTAACTGGAATTGCAGATAACTTACAAAACGTTTCAGCGTTAATTTTGCAATAATAATAATCATTTTTTTTCATAGCGATTTTTTCTCAAATGGAAGCGCTTTACGTACTCTCACTGACAGACTCCAGACTTGAATGTTGTGTTGGCAGACAATGGAAGTTAACTCACTAATGATAAACCCTCAAGTGTTCCACTCAGAAAATGACTATAGAAAATTTAAACTATTATAAAAGAATATCGGGTATTTTGCCGTTAAAGGGATTTCTTTGTGAAAAATCTTAAATCCGAATAAGTTTTACACCACAGACGGTGCATTGTAACTAGCAACACTGTGTAATTCATGTTAAAGAGAAAATATTTCCTCTCATTAGACTCTGAAGTTTGCTGAATCATTCTGATTTGTAAGAAAACATTTGTAACAAACAGGATCTCTGCATTAATTACTCATAAAAATGTGATCCGATCAGCTGCTAAATTACAATATCAGACAAACACAATCTGCCTATGGCTGTATGGCCATTTCTGACTTTTTCATAAAGATAGAACGTTTCTTAAAAACCTGTTTAACCTGTGCTAAAATTTCAGTGTCTCGGGTATGTTTGAATTTTGGAAAAATGTGGCAAAAGGTAGAGCTCTAACATGTTTCCTTCTGTCTACATTGTCATTCCTCGGCAGATGTCACATGTAATAGCTGAGGAACAAGTAACCTCTGACAAGAGCCCGTATGGCCAAGATTATCAGTTTCCCAATGAGTAAAAACAGGGCCCCACTCAGCGAATATATATCCTTTACTCTCTTATAGTTTAAATGAAGTACAACACAGCAGCAAATAGGGAGAGGTAGAGGACCAGATAGAGGGTTACGCATATGCATTTTGTGGCTTTAAGAAACCTTCTTAGTAGCACTTTCTTAACTTAACAGTGTCTCGGGTATGTTTGAATTTTGGAAAAATGTGGCAAAAGGTAGAGCTCTAACATGTTTCCTTCTGTCTACATTGTCATTCCTTGGCAGATGTCACATGTAATAGCTGAGGAACAAGTAACCTCTGACAAGAGCCCGTATGGCCAAGATTATCAGTTTCCCAATGAGTAAAAACAGGGCCCCACTCAGCGAATATATATCCTTTACTCTCTTATAGTTTAAATGAAGTACAACACAGCAGCAAATAGGGAGAGGTAGAGGACCAGATAGAGGGTTACGCATATGCATTTTGTGGCTTTAAGAAACCTTCTTAGTAGCACTTTCTTAACTTAACAGTGTCTCGGGTATGTTTGAATTTTGGAAAAATGTGGCAAAAGGTAGAGCTCTAACATGTTTCCTTCTGTCTACATTGTCATTCCTCGGCAGATGTCACATGTAATAGCTGAGGAACAAGTAACCTCTGACAAGAGCCCGTATGGCCAAGATTATCAGTTTCCCAATGAGTAAAAACAGGGCCCCACTCAGCGAATATATATCCTTTACTCTCTTATAGTTTAAATGAAGTACAACACAGCAGCAAATAGGGAGAGGTAGAGGACCAGATAGAGGGTTACGCATATGCATTTTGTGGCTTTAAGAAACCTTCTTAGTAGCACTTTCTTAACTTCAGCTCCAGTATCTCATTAGATGCTCAATAGATGAGAATAACATCCCACTTCCCATGAAAGAGCAGATCTGTTGCATGATCTTCCATAAACCTCTGTTTTGTACTCTTGTCCATACATGAGAGTACAAGAATGATGAACAGCAGTCAACTTCCTCTCACAGGAGCTGAGGATGTAATGTTAATTCAATTATTTTGTGAAAAGTCCCGACCCTTAACTCTTCTGTGAGAGCCATTCTGTTGTTGATTTACTCCAGTGTTTTCAGTCACTGGAGAGATTTATCAAAGTACTGTGCTCTGTAAAGTAGGGGCAAAGTACCAAAGGTGAGGCGGTCACCATGGAAACCAATGCAATCGATTGAAACACAGTATTTTATTAATGACTATTCCACTTTTACCATTTTGCTTCACTTTTCACTTTGGTAAATCTCTCCTACTGTCTACAAAGCTTCACATGACCAGCTCCTACATTTTTATACTTGTGTAAAATTTCTTACATACGATTTTGAATTCATTGTTCCCTCGGTGGTGGCAAGCTATGAAGGCTCAGGGGCATCAAAGTGGTCTCGAATCTTGATTTCCCTCTAGTGTGCTTAATGGTTAATAAACCATTCATGCATGGCAGTGCACATTTCAACTCCTGTTTCACTGAACTAAAGAACAATATTCTAGATAGAACCATTATAAAAAAATTCCAGGTGATTCGTTGACCCATGCATCACAGCATCACATGTTGCAAATTTACAATGATCTTTCCATGACACCGTAATTTGCCTTCATGTCGATTGATGAACAACAAGGCATTTAAAATTTATAAAATTGAAATAAGCCCAGGTAATACATGATTCAAATGTCACCCCCTTACTCACATCTTTGATTAGTGTATAGAACACAAATATAAGTGGAAACAGGGGCATTAGATTGGAAAGTGTAGTATGTACACATTACATATGGTATACACCGAGTGAATAGTTATCTAATTGTTTGTATAAAAACATGTAAGTTAAAACAAAAAAAAAAAGATTTTATCATCGCAACTTAGCATACAAATTTAATAAACCCTTTTCAGACAAGGCAACTTGCAAAATAACATAACTGCACAAAAGAGCTGTTGTCACAGTTGCTCGGTAGTTCCACCCAAACTCCACCTCGTTTATACATCTCGAATCCACTGAAGACACTATGTCCTTTTAAAGTTCCTCTGGATTTCTCTAGATGTTTGTGGTCAAGGCAAATGGGCACCCACAAGGAACCTCTTCCACATGTCGACTTGTTTGTAGCCTTGCTTAAAAACTTTATGTTTCATTCACTACATCAGACTTTCTTAGAGGCTGATTCGTTTTCCTGTTTTCAATGAATTTATAGGTCTGTCTGTTATCACTCCACATTTTCCACCACCATTTCTGACTTCACTGCACAGGTGCACGACTCCACCCCACCATGCTCTATTTTGAATGTGACGTCAATAAGTCTTTCCCCAAAAAAACCTTTTAACAAAGAACATTTCCACTGAAATATCAGTAGGATTTCAGATCTGGATCTATTTTGCAGGTCATTCTTAAAGAGTTAAACATCAATAAATCTTATACAATATAAAGCGTAGGGAGAATGTTTATTTGCTATTATATATCTTATTGTATTCACTATGTATGCTATATATTATTATAATTTCTCTTTTTGTTTACGAATACATTTTAAATAAAAATAACTCTTTTTAGTCTATTGTTTGTGGGCCGCATATCTTTATTATATTATTATTATTAATCTATATGCATAGATTTTTACTTAATTATTAACTCATAAGTTTTATTTTAATTCAGTCATTCTTACCGTTCCCCAATGAAATATTTTTGATGTCAACATTTGCCTACCAAATTTATGATTTTGACTTTAAATTGTCATTAAAGTCCCTAGTTATCAAGATCAATTCATGTATCAAATTCTGAGAAATTTGATTTAAAATACATTAAATGATAGAATTGGAAACATGTACCATTTGACAAACAGAATATCAATATCAATCTGTAGTTTCATAACACTTGTTATGTACAAAACACGCCTGGTTTTATGTGTAATAGTCTGAATATTATGTTGGAGTCATCTTACATTGATTGACATTCACATGTATTTGAATTTATAAAGTATCTGTGGTTTTCTTTTCTGTTCCACCCTTTATATTGTTTCTAGTTGTTCTGCAGGTTGTTGTTCCATAAGAGTTTCCTTATTAGAAGTTTCATTCTTCTGTGATAGTCCAGGGCTTTCAGTTTGAGGAAATAGTTCATACAAAAAAAATCTGATAGGCATGTCACTGCTGTTTGCATTTATGGACATAGTAACCGGTGACATATCCAATGATAAAAACAATCCAAAAGAATGCCAATCCCCCTATCACTTTCACTACAATGCCAATCTTGCCCGTACACAGCATGTTCCAGACCCTAAAAATAAAACAAAAATAATGAGTTGAACTTGTCACCTTGTTTTATAAACTTTTAGTTTGTGCAGCATTCAAATTTGTTTGCTTGTTTTAAGTCGGTAATATTGTTTAGCACTCTAGACACTTCTGGTATTTTAAAGGGACACTATAGTCACCAAAACAACTTTAGCTTAATGAAGCAGTTTTTGTGTATAGATCATGCCTCTGAAGTTTCACTGCTCAATTCACTGCCATTTAGGAGTTAAATCACTTTTGTTTCTGTTTATGCAGCCCCAGTCACACCTCCCCTGGCTGTGACTGACACAGCCTGAATGACAAAAAACGGCTTCATTTCATCAGATGTAACTTAGTTTAAGTTCTTTTATCTCCTGCTCTGTAAATTGAACTTTAATCACACACAGGAGGCTCCTGCTGGGTCTGGCAAATTATTAACAGAGCAGGGGATAAGAAATTCTAAATGAAACAGAATTTACAATAAAGGAAGAATAAACATTAGATGACTCTTTACAGGAAGTGTTTAGGAAGACTGTGTAAGTCAGAAACATGGACGTGTGAACAGGTCTGGATGAACAAAGTGATTTAATTCGTAAATAGCAGAGAATTGATCAGTGAGACTGTAGAGATCTATACACCAGAATTGCTTCATTAAGCTAAAGTTGTTTAGGTGACTAAAGTTTCCTTTTCAGGTTGGTCTGTGGTCTGTCCTGCTCGGAGTATAATAACACAAAGAACAAAGGGGAATTTAGGGCACACCCGGAATATACATTTCTCAACAGTGGTATTGCTGTAAAGACCATAATTTACACAAGATACAGATTCAGCACTGCTCCTTAATCTGTATTTTGCATAATAATTTATTCAAATGTACAAATTGCCATTTATGCTTTCTGTTCTCTGATAGGTGCAGGTAGAGCTATTGCTGTGATTTTCTATAAACAAACAAACAAACAAACAAACAGGAACTATTTAAAATATCTTTGATTTCATAATTAAATCAAGCCTTTGCTCGGTAACTTTACCTTCTCCATGTTGGGGCCTCAGAGGAAGATGTGGTCACACTCACTTCATCTTGGTTTTGGTCATTCCACCGACTATACTGGACTCCAGGGGCTTCCTGTGACTGCATCGTCTGTTTTAAAAAAAGAGGGCGCATACATTACCACTTTATTATGTCAAGGTTGGAGAAACAAAGACCATTCACAAACTTCTTTACTAAAGTGTCAATGTTGGGGGATTTAAAGTGAATTCCAAACTTTAGACCAAAATAGCTCAAATTGTGAACATGGCTGACTGAGAATTTTTCCAGTTCAGTTATTTTGACATAAAATGTGAAATTTTCTTTGAATTTGTGACTATTTACACTTTAATAACTATGTCAGACATCTAAATAGTGTGTGTAATGCCTATACTGAATGTTGTTGGTGTTCTAGCTGGCATAGCCTACATTTCCCATGATGCTCCACAAACATTAAACCTGACAGAGTACCATGAGAACAATGGCCCTGATAGGTTGAGTGCCATGTTAGACATTACTAATGTGGGCATTACAGTGCATTATGCAAGCAATTTGTGGCCTTCACATATGATAATGATATACAGTGAAGTTAGAAAGGAAAAAATGGAACTGCAACATCTCTTGATCTACTATACATATCTATACTTTTTTTGTTTAATTTTTTAAAAATAATTTTTACAGTGCCCTCAGACCTAGAAACACAGCTCAGTTGTGCTTTTTCAAACATTTATAAACCTTCATTGAGAGCAAAATACCAGTAAGGAACATAGTGAGTTACAGAATGATTTATGATTTCTTAAAGCATGCCATAGGGTACATCACCAGTTGTGGGGGCATTAGGAAACACAGTAGGAAACCAAATGTAATTATATAAAGGAGGAGGGCAGTCTACATTGGTAAAATGGGAACTGAGAGAAAGAAAATAGAGAGAGGGGGGTTGGAAGGAATCAGGGGAGATTGGAGTAATGGCACATATATATATATATAGTAAATACAATGTTAAACAAAAAGCTGCAGACCTGTCAGCCCACAGTTCTCCCACAGAAATCACAAATCTGCAGTGATGTTACTACCGCAAAGGATTCTGGGTGGGCATATGCAAATTAGTTCAACAAAGCATCACATTTTTGCCTCATTCCATTTTAACCCCTTAAGGACGGCGGGCGTGCTATGCCATCCTTAGGGACCTGGCTCTAAACGCAGGGGGGCGGCATAGCATGTCCCCGCCGTCCTTTTAACTTACCCGGTCGCCGGCAATCCCACGCCGGCAATTGCAGTGTGGGAACTCACCTGGGAGCCCAGAGAGTCCCCGTCTGTCCGTTTCGGCCCCCCGGGCCATGTGATCACAAGGTCCTTGCGAGGACCTCACGATCACATGGACGGCATAGCCGTCCATAGCAATGCCAGCAGGGGGAGTGCCTGTAATGACAAGTACTCCCCCTGCTGCCTGAAATAAATAAAATAGAAGTTTAAACAGTGTAAAATTATATTATATATACTTAGATCATATATATATATACTTAGATTATTATATATATGATCTAAGTATATATATACAGATACACATACATACACATAAATACACATACACTGTCTAAGTGTATTTTAATATTAATATATATATAATTACACGTAGAATGATATTGATTAAATATATATATATATAATTATCATTATATATATTTATATATAATATAAAATAAATATATGTAAATGTGTTAAAAAATAAAATTAAAAACATAATAATAAATAATATATATGTGTAATTTTGTTCTCACTGTATTTTAAAATTAATATATATTGATATCAAAATACACGTAGAACGAAATAATATATATCTATATACATAAATATATACACGTATATATCACTATATATATACACACCTTTGTATAAATAAAAATAATAAAAAGTTATATACATATATATATATATATACACACACACAAATTGTAATTAATAAAATGACCTAATTATGTAAAATGATTACATAAATACGTTTTACTGTTTTGAAACACTAATATTTGTGTTCAGCGAAGTCTCCTGAGTATAACAGTACCCCCCATATACAGGTTTTATGGTATTTTTAAAAGTTACAGAGTCAAATATAAGGCTTGCATTTCAGTTTTTTCCCATTGAAATTCGCCAGATTGGTTACGTTGCCTTTGAGACCGTATGGTAGCCCAGGAATGAAAATTACCCCCATGATGGCATACCATTTGCAATGGTAGACAAACACTGGCCAAAATTGGCGTTCAAATAATTTTTTTGCATTTTTCACACACAAACAAATATTAACACTAACTTTGGCCAGTGATTGTGACCAAGTGGCTACTAAAAAAGAATGGATATACCCCATTTGCAATACATTGGGTTGTCTACTATTGCAAATGGTATGCCATCATGGGGGTAATTCTTATTCCTTGGCTACCATATGGTCTCAAAGGCAACAAGGAATTTCAGTGGGAAAAAACTGAAAAATGTAACATGCTATATTAGACCCTGTAACTTCCCAAAACACCATAAAACCTGTACATAGGGGGTACGGTTTTACACGTGAGACATCGCTGAATACAAATATGTGTATTTTATTGCAGTAAAAGCAAACATTATTATGACCTTAACAGTTAAAATGTCACGTAGAACTAAAAAAAATAGAAAATTCTTATTTTCTCCCATTTTTTTTATATTTTATTCATATTAGATTGTCCTATATCTAAATATTTGATGTTAAATGAAAGTACTGTTTCCCCTAAATAAAATGATTTATAATAAGTGTGGGTGCACATAGTATGAAAGTGGTGAATTACGCCTGAACAGACATATAGCGCAAATTCAAGTTTTTGTTTACATTTTGTTTTGATCACAGTGTGTACATTTGGCTCAGTCCTTAAGGGGTTAAACATGGATTCCTTTTAGTCTGTGTTTGCTGTATACAACCAGGGCCGGTGCACAGGGCCGGACTGGGGATACAAAGCAGCCCTGGAAAAAAAATTTGTGCCAGCCCCATAAGTCACTGCGCCATATATTGTCGCGTGTAATATGCAAGGCTATGTCTTGCCAGGACAGATGATGGAGTAATTTATATATATATATATATATATTGCTTTTTCTAATATAAAATATTGGTCCTTTCAGGGTAAAACGTTTAATTATACAGTAAGCATACGCACATGCAGACACAGGCAATTTCACTGACATTTCAGTGACACACACAAGCTCATTGATACACACACACACAGCTTAATGTGATGGTACTGGTGTCTATAGCATGTCCCTACAGGCTTTTCAACGTAAACACTGACTTTTCAGACAAAAGGCAGTGTTTACATTGCTTCAAAGTGACACTGCTAGTGACAGTCCCTCAGACGGTCACTAGAGGTGCTTCCTGTGTTAGTGCCCTCCCGCCCTCGCGCGCTGCTGAATGAGACTGGCGCCGGAATATGACGTCATATTCCGGCGCTGGTCTCATTCAGCTGCGTGCTGGGGAGCAGAGCCAGCGCAGCTCGCGCAGCTCCCTCAGCGGCCGCCAGGACAAGTCCGCCAGGGGCCGCCAAAAGACCTCCCCAGCGGCCAGGGGAGGGCTGGCAGCCTTAGGCCTGGGGGGCAAAACCAGTCAAGTAGACTGGTGCACCTGCCCAGGATCAGAGCCGGTGCAAGGATTTTTGCCACCCTAGACAAAATAAAAATTTGCTGCCCCCACATGTCACATCACAATGCCCCACCCATATGACCTGCCATATGAACTAACGCCAGTGCTGCACACAGTGTGTGTTTACATTAAAAAGCCTGCAGGGACCAGCTATAGACACCAGAACCACTTCATTAAGCTATAGTGTCCTTTAATGTGAGGTAAATTATAGATTAGTGTCACTAATAATATACTAGATTGCCTACTTACAAGCAGATGAGGATGATGATGGGCTGCAGTTTGGCTCCACTGGTCTGGTGTAGAACAGGATCTCTTGAGGCTGTTTGCAACTGTGGTCACAAAATTCAATGTTCTGGGAGAATTGGAAGCAGCTCAATTTTTTTGGGGCCCCTTACACAGCTCAAGGTCTGGGCCCCAGGGCCTGACGGTGAGTATGCCCATAAGGCCCACTCATAAGTTCCACCCACCCATGAGTTCGCTCACAGGGAGTGGAGTGTGTAGGGGATGTGTTATTGTAGAGGATCTAATATGTGTGCTTATGGTATGTAGTGTTTAGGGTTACCAGTTTGTGCAGGTGATGCAGTGTGTTTGTGTGTAGTGGAAGCAGTGTGTATTTGTGTATATGGGATGTATTATGTGTTTCTGGTTGTGTGTAAGGGATGCATTGTGTGAATCTGTGTTTGTATGCATAAGGGATGCAAGGTGTGTGTCTGTATGTGTGTGCATGAGATGCATTGTGTTTCTGTGTGTATGTAAAAAAAGAAGTGTGTTTGCATGCGTGTGTACGGGTTTGCATTGTCTGTTTCTGTGTATGTGTGCAAAGGATGTATTGTCTTTGTGTGTAAGGGTTGCATTGTGTGTGTGTGTGTAATGGATGCATTGTGTGTTTCTCTGTGTGTAAGGGAAGCATGTTGTGTTTCTGTGTATGTATAGGGATGCATTGTGTGTGTGTGCACGCGTAGTGTGAAAGAGCTTCCCTGTCTTGGCCCCTGTCCTATAGAGCTGCCCCTTCTTCTTATTCCCCTCCCTCCCCTCTTCTTATTCCCCCCCTATCTTATTCCCCCCTCCCCTCTTCTTATTCCCCCCTCCCCTCTTCTTATCCATCCCTCCCCTCTTCTTATTCACCCCTCCCCTCTTCTTATTCCCCTCCCTC